AAAATATTTTGAGTACTTCTTCTTTCTTATGCTTTTCCTCTTTTCTTCTAGGATTAATAAGAGTGGGCTTTTACAACACCAAGGCCCTAAATACGTCTGTAGTAGCCTGTCCAACAAGCGAGAAGCCAGAACAGGCCCATCACAAGGCCTCCCCAGTGTGAGGAGGAGGCCAAGGGAACCCCAGCACAGAGGGTGACCCCCCAACCCCCAGGCCCTACTCAGCCATTAGGAGGAACAGTTCAGAGCTTTGGGGGGTGCCCAGTCCCCCAAAGGGCAATTAACAACAAGGGTCATTAACACTGCACGCAGAAGGCAGCTGTGGTGTTGACTGGTTGTTTTCAAACTGTGCTCCCTAGAGGTGTCGAGGCACACAGAGACAGAGGAGACAGAGACCATAAGCAGAGAACGAGGGAGAGGCAGGCACTGGGCGTCCTCCCTCCATTCAAGCACAGCAGCTCTGAATTTCTATACGTCACACAAGCTTGTCCTTGGAAGACCAGCATCTGTGCCCCTAGACATGCCAACCCACCAGGGAACTTGAAAGGGCGCTGTCCTGAAGGCAGGTCCTGGGTCCAGCCTAGCCCCACGGCCTTTGGCAAATCACTGAGCTTGAAGTCTCCCTGCCATGTCTGAACTTTAAAAGCCTTGAACTAGGAGCTGGACAAGACCCTTCCTTTTGACTATTCTTTGTAACCCTTAGATGACCATGTCAGTTCCAAGTCAAAAAGCCTCAGGACTGAACTCTAGCCCGGCCATCTGCAGCTCTGTTACCTAAGGCAGGACCCGCCTCCTTGCCTTTCAGGTCACCCTCCCCTGTGATCACAAATCATATTGGTGACCTTGCAAGGTTATTGTGAAGATTAAAAACAATGCATAGAACTTTGTCAGCTCAAAGTAGTTGTTTAGTAAAAGGCAGCCATGACCCACCATGAGTTTTATGCATGCCCCTCAACTGGGCTATCCTGGTACCAGCAACTTACCTGTGGGTAACTGAGTGGGAGTTCACCAAGATGTTCATACAAGGATATTCATAGCAGCAAAATGTGCAATACCAAAAAACAAGAAAAGTGGGGGACAAATAGAGGGTGTCCATTGATCAGGAACTGAATACGTAAA